AGCTGGCAGTCAGACATCCCTTTGGCAGCCCGGCAGCCTTGGGGGGTGTCCACTTTCCAGTGGCGAGCAGGCCAAAGCTGCAGTCGGACATCCTTAGCGCTGCTGAGGAGGCAGGAGAGGCTCCTACCACCACCACTGTACTGGCACCATCAGCCTGGCTTGTGGTTGAGCAGAGCTCCCCCTGTGGGAGCTCACTGACAACCAGGGGGCAGCTCCTGCATTGAGTGTCTGCCCCCTGGTGGTCAGTGTGTGTCATAATGACCAGTCATTCCCAGTCGTTCTGCTGTTAGGGTCAGTTTGCATATTACCCTTTTATTATATAGGATAGAGGCCTGGTGCATGGGTGGTGGCTGGCTGGTTTGCCCTGAAGGGTGTCCCGGATCAGGGTGGGGGTCCCGCTTGGGTGCCTGGCCAGCCTGGGTGAGGGGCTGATGGCTGTTTGCAGGCTGGTCAAGCCCCCCCCCCAGTGGGGACCCTCACCCCATGGAGGTGTGGCCAGCCTGGGTGAGGGGCTGATGGCTATTTTCAGGCTGGCCACACACCCCTTTAGGGTGGGGGGTCCCCACTGGGGTGCCTGGCCAGTCTGGGTGAGGGGCTGAGGGCCATTTTTAGGCTGGCCAAGTCCCCTGGCGACGGAAGTTCCCAGCCTCTCCTTTTCTTCTTCTTCTTTTTTTTATTCTGGGATTTATTTACCTTCTATAATTGAAACTTTGTAGCCTTGAGAGGAGCTCAGAGCTGACCAGGGAGGGGCGGGAGGGAAGCCTCCTGCTCACTCCAGCTCCGTGGCCATGGCGACGGAAGTTCCCAGCCTCTCCTTTTCTTCTTCTTTTTTTATTCTGGGATTTATTTACCTTCTATAATTGAAACTCTGTAGCCCTGAGAGGAGCTCAGAGCCGGCCAGGGAGGGGCGGGAGGGAAGCCTCCTGCTCGCTCCAGCTCCGTGGCTGCCGGCCGCCATCTTGGTTGGGTTAATTTGCATATAGTTGCTCTGATTGGCTGGTGGGTGTGGCTTAAGGCATAGGGAAGGTACGGTCAATTTTCATGTTTGTATTTTATTAGTGTAAATATTATGCTTATTTATTGCATATGTATTACATATGCATAATATATATTACAATACAGCTATCATGCTCCCTACCCATAGAACAGGGGTGGGGAATGTCCAGCCTGTAGGCTGTATAAGGCCCATGAAATCATTTGGTCTGGCCCTGCCAAGGCATTAGGGGTGATTTAATTAAATGTTTGACCAAATATAGCAGACTAAGTTTTAAGGTGATAATTTTGTATGGCCTGCAAATGATGTTATAAATGGCCCCTGACAGAAAAAATGTTCCCCACACCTGCCATAGAACCTTAAAACATAGCAGAGTAGCTCAGCAGCCACTTCCAAACCCCAAACAATCCACTATTCAAATGCAAAATTATATATTCATTTAATAGTTACTTACAAATCAATTTAAGCTATAAGTACCTTATCTCATCAAATCTAAAACACCACTGCATTTTAAGAAGCAATATTAAGTACTAGAAAGAAAAATGCTGCCAATTTATTATAAGAATCCATCAATGATAAAATACAACCCAATTTTAAAAATGTTATAATCTTAAAAAAATTAAAAATGTGGGTCTACAGCAATGAAATGCCTGTCTTTTGGCGACACGAAAGTGTTCCCCTATACTTACAGAAATTACTTTGCACATCCCCAATTATGTTTGTATGGAAGAACAAGCTCGATGTGAGAAAACTCAAATCAGTTTTTCATGGCTACATTGGTGAATTTACATCAAGGCCATCATGCAGTTTTGAAATAAAGAGTTGGTTTTTAGATGCAATAGCAACAGATACTAGAACCTGAAACATCACTGTTGAGGGTCTCCTTTCCCAACTACACCTCTAAATGTTTTCCTGATTCCAAAACCAGGTCCACACAACTTAGCAAACACATGGGAAAGGCAGGGCAAAAATAAATAAATAAATACTTCACAAAAGGAGGCTTATCCTGGCTGGTGTGGCTCAATTGGTTGGCGTGTCATCCAGTGCACAGAAAGGTCACAGGTTCAATTGATTTCTAGTCAGGGCACACACTCAGATTACAGGTTCCATTCCTGGTCAGGTTGTTTGCAGGAAGCAACTGATTGGTGTTTCTCTCTCTCTCCCCCTCCCTCTCTCTCTCTCTTACAGTATCACACAGCACAGCATGTATTAGTGGAAAGGACACTGCAGAGTTAAATGACTGGCATTCTAGTACCTTTCTGATATTGGCTAGGAAACATACTGGGTTTATTTCCTCATTTGCCAAACAAAGGTACGGAATTGTAAGGTTCACTTTCTCGCATTAAAACACCATAATTCTCAGGTTCAAAAATACTGGCTCATCTTCCCTATTTCTTATAAATGACCCATCTTATAGGAACTCCTGGGCTTAGGTTTAAAATGACGCTGATTGCTTTATACTTCTTGAAAAACTTTACTCAACTTCAAAGGTGCTTATAAAAACCTTAAACTTTCTTCTGGAAAGCCTTCCTTATTTTTCGTTTTATTTTCTCTCCCACTTCAACTAAATAATCTCCCTTTTTTCAAAAGCTATAGTACTGGGTTTTTTCACTCAGGAATTTCTGAACATTCCAGGCTGCCCCCAACAGAACTCTGGAAGGCATCTACAAGTGTTTGGGGGTTTTTTTCCTAACTCAAACCAAAATTGCAACACTTGTGACCTTCAGCACAAAATGTACCATCAATTAAAACTTCATTGAGGGAACGAAATTCCCTAGCATTTCTAGTTTTATTACTAACATCAGAGCCTAATTTGTGACTACTTTTTAAAAACAAAGTTTGCATGGTATTGTTGTGGGTGCTGTTTTTCTACTGGAAGCAAAAATGGGCTTAGAAACGTGGCATGAGAAAGAGAAGATCTAGGGGATTTAGAGATTTTCATACATTAAAAACTGTAGTCTGTAACCCCCCTAGTATAGGAGATAATTTGGTTTAAGTATTTTTTGTTGTTGTTTTTATTTTATTAATTTCAGAGAGCACACCCGCTACTGTGGATGGAGCCCTCAACTGGGATATGTGCCCTGTCAGGGAATCAAACAGGTGACCATTTGGTGCAGGGGTCAATGCTCAACACTGAGCCACACCGGACAGGCAGAGATAATTTGGTTTAGATCTCAGACCTCTTAGACCCTTAATTAACAGGTTGATCACGTGACGAGGGTGAATTGAAGACCACTCCAGCAACAGAAAGCTAAACTAGATGATCCCTTAAGGCCTCATGGTCCTTCGAGTCTAGGAAAAAAGAACTTTCAGTTCTGTGAGAGGACTGCTAACTGTTGCTAAGGGTGGATTAAGGATCCTGATCTTTTTTAGACATTCCTCCTTTCTCCTCTAGACTCTCCTCCTGCTAAAGCAGGCTAGAATTTTTTAGAAACTCAGAGGAGCAAAGACCCCAGGAGATAAAGATATAGGTATAACTAATTCCTTTTTTCCTTCTGCCTACAACACCTTCAACTGGCCTTTAAATTATACCATAAGAATCTCCAGAAAACTTTCCCAAAGAAACCCAATCTTTTCCTACTTGCCAATGTTATGTCAGACCTTTGTCCTCAAGTGATCTGGTAACTAAGTGTAGCTATTGCACACACATCCATCCCCATGCACTTTGAAAATGCAATCTTCTCAAAAAATGAATTGTCTCATCCGATATTCGGTACAAACAGAATTAGAAGATAGGACAGTACCTTACTTAATGTCTGTTTCAGCCTAGGTGCTTTATATAAACTGGTTTATTTATCCCGAACAATGACCCCAGATCATCCTGTATGTCACCATTTCTAGGATGCACCTTTTTAACATGTTTGAAATCAGGATGCATACGACAGCTGATGGTGTGTCACAATTTTAATTAGTGATCATTTTCCACTGTTAATGGTAGACAAAACAACGGTGCATCTTACAAATGATGATGTCTCAGATTTGCTAAACTATGTTATTATTTTCATGGGATTTGAAACAGAAATTGAGAAACAGATTAGAAGTGCCCGGGGTTATTACACAGGCTGTAAGGGACCAGCCAGACTTCAAACCTTGATGTGGCTGATTCCAAAGTCTCTTCCTACACAACCTCCCTAAAAACACAGAGACTTTGAACATGCCAGAATTTCCTACAGTCAGCGCTACTCAAAGGCTGGGAACCTTGGCTACTACGTTTTCAGAAACAGGGTTCACACCGCCTCGCGCAGACAGTGCAAATAAGCTGGTTAAGGTCCCAGCAGGCCCTAAGCTTCTAGAAGTCTTCGGGGCTATGCTGCCTCTGGGTGCAGAACCCACCTCTTTGCCGAGCCTACAGTCTACATTAAGGACAATCATACGTGTAGGTCCCTTCTGTGCCAGGGACAGCCTTAGCCCCCAGTTTCCTAAGACATACTGCCCCCACCTCTAAACATGACGCTCACCCTCCCACCTCCTCATTCGGGACCACCTGGCTCCTCACTCAACAGGCCAATCTGGATGCCGACCCCATCCTGCCACTCATCACCGCGGGCGGGGCAAGAGCAAGCCCCCAGGTCTGCCAGGCTCCCAGACCCGAGTCCTGGCGCAGCCACCCTAGTGCTCCCCCGCCAGCTGCCTAAGTCATGCCTCCGCCCACACATCCAGCAAGTTCCCTGCACCCCAAAGGGTCCCTGCACCCCACAGGGTCCCTGCCTCCGCCCACACATCCAGCAAGTTCCCTGCACCCAGAGGGTCCCAGCTTCCGCCCACATATCCTGCAAGGTTCCCTGCACCCCACAGGGTCCCTACACCCCAGAGGGTCCCTGCCTCCGCCCACACATCCAGCAAGATTCCCTGCACCCCACAGGGTCCCCGAAGTGCGGCCGGACTCTCGCGGCTCCCAGGCCCTGGCCGAGTCCTGCCCCGGAGGGCCCGGACCGGTCTGCAGGACGACACGGGCCGCCGGGCCAGGAGCTCGCGGGGCTGGAGGAGAAAGTCCCGCCGGACTCACAGAGGAAGGAACGCGACAGAAGGCGGGCGGCGGCGAGCCCACTGCTACCGGAGGCCATGGTCGCGGCGGCAGCGGCGGCGGCGCGGCTGCGGTCACCACCAATGACACTCGCAGGCCCCCGGGACCTGTCAGAGGCCGCGGCCTGGGCAGGAGGGGTGGCCAGAGCGGGTGCCTGAATGGATTCCCCCTGCAAGACCTCTTCACCGAACACTGGGGGTCGCGGGTGGAGGAGAAAAAAATAGGTGTCTTAACAGAGAAGTGAACAATAACTTGGATCTCCACTGGAAATGTGAGTTTGAGTCAACATTAATTACTACGGCAGCTTAGGAAAAACCCTACGTGAGGCTGGTCGGCGCGTGGCATTGTGGGGAATGTAGTCTTTTGAGAGCGGCGACTCGTTTGTAGTTTAAGCGGGACAGGTGGGAAGGAAGCCACACTCCGGAGATGAGGTGGCGAAAGGAGTGAGGACACAGTGAGGCGGGGTGCGAAGAGCAGTGCAGACCTTCCCGCGGCCCTGGGCCAGTCGGCACCTCCCTTTCCTCGTCTGGCACATGGAGAGGATAACACTCCACCCCGCCTTGCGAGGATCCGGTGGTAACAAGCTGGTGTCCAGGGAGGGTAAGGACAAGAAAGACCGAAAGCTACTTTCCCGACACTTAATTTCTTGGCATGTGGATCTTTTGGTAAAACAAGCTGTCATGCATACAGCCCCGGACTAGCCCTAAGTGAATGAGCGCCTGGGATCCTGAGGACTGAAGTTACAGTTCAAATGTGGCCTCTCCCGCTTTGCACCAACCCGCGGATCACTCCTCGGTGAGAGCTTTAGGAGGAACCTCGGAGAGGCCAGAGTCCAAGGGTAAACAAGAGTTGAAGTCATCCACCCCCTGCCTCCAGTTGTGCCCCTGAGGTTGCTCATTATCATCCATGAGATTATAATCCTGATTCACCTAAATAGTTATTATAATCTGCACTGAGCTGTGATGTCTGCGTGGGATTAAACGCGCTGATTGCCCCATATGTCCTCTAGGGTACAGGGATCGTCGTCATTCCCAGGTTGGGTTTGGCTGCACACAAAATCCCTCCCTCATCTACAGGATCACGTCCTTGTGATCATTTAAATCCCGTCAGTGGTTCCCAAGTAGGCCCAGTATGATGATTTATTTTAAATAGCAAAGTGTTTCACATGATCATAGTTATGTTTTCAGTTTCACTTAATTGGTAAAAATGAATGATGACAAAAAGTTTACATTTGGTATGATTTTATTGAATTATTTCCGTAAGGACAGGGATTTTCGTTTCTTTTGTATACTAATGTCTCCCCAACACCTAGAACACTGCTTGGCACAGAGGGAGAACCTATTTGTTGAATTGAACTGAATTGATTTATAGGAGAGATAGCATATACATTTGTTTACTGAATCCACACACAATGTTTGATGATATTTCAGTTCCTCATAACTACACCTCCACTGCAATTGCATAGATCATTGGTGACAGACTATTGCACTAGACTCTACCTATACCACTCATCCTTCTATGCAGAGGGCTTTTGGAGTCAGGCAGACCTGGATTCAAATTCCAATTCTGCCACGAGCTATACAACCTGTGGGTTTCAGGTTTTCTTACTGAGATGGGGATGAAAATCCCTGATTCATAATAGTGTTGTCAGCAGTTAATGCATTAATATGTAAAGTCTTTAGTACCCTGTAACCATTTAGTAAATGATAGTTCTTATCATTAAAGGTAACTTTCTGCTTTGCATAGTGTAAAGGTAGAACAAAAGGCCTTTTTCTTTTCTGTGGCTTTCCACAATTTATGACAAGCACCTGGTAATTAAAACCCAAGATTGTTAGCTCCTCTCGTTCAAACAGCCCCTCTGTTCAAACTGCAAGACAAGCTACTCTCAAAGCTACATACTTGCTTGCCTCTCCTCCCTGCTGTTTTCACAACTCAGGAATAATTTGAACCAAGGAGTCTCTAGTTAGTAGAAAGTTCCCTTCCCCTGTCCCCTTCAAACAAACCTTTTTTGAATTCTTCATAACTTTTTCTCTAAGCTTAGGAAAAATACTGATAAGACACCTCCCTAGGACAGTGGTCGGCAAACTCATTAGTCAACAGAGCCAAATATCAACAGTACAACGATTGAAATTTCTTTTGAGAGCCAAATTTTTAAACTTAAACTATATAGGTAGGTACATTGTTATTAACTTAATTAGGGTACTCCTAAGGCTTAGGAAGAGCCACACTCAAGGGGCCAAAGAGCCACATGTGGCTCTCGAGCCACAGTTTGCCAACCACGGCCCTAGGACATCTGCCTGGACTGTCTCCTAAAAACCAAACAAATTTTACAAGACAACCCCGCTGATACCTGTTCAAATTCAGCACTTCCTGGTTGCTTAGCAACAGCCAAGGCTTAAAAGGGGAAGCTGCCCTCTGTTTTCTTGCCTTGTATTGGTTAGCAATACTTGGTCCTTTCCCTTCATGGAAAGTCAAATAAACTTCCTCTCTGCATCTCTTCTTTTAGTTTGAATTCTTTCACAGCCCTCCTCACCAGCCAAACCCTAATGCATGGCAGGGTGTTGTCTTAAAGTTTTTACTGATGTAGTAACCCAGTGTGAAATAGGACATTTCCATTTGTCTCAAAACCTTGGTGAAAGCCCCAACACGGAGGGCACAGGCCACACGTACCTGCACATTTGAAGGAGGGCAGTCTAGAAGCCATCTATCAGATTTCGATAAGAGGTGTCCAAACTTATTTCCGGATTCTCAGTCCCAGCAGCTCAAATAAGCAAAAGACTGAAATTCATTGAGTGAGGTCATTTTTCTGAGTCATGCGTTCTCAGCTTAATGATCTCCTTTCCTCCCACTCTGACAAGTTGGTGAGAAAAGGCTCCTTGCCAAAAGATTGGCATTACATCCCAGGCTAACCCCCTGCTGAACTGCAGAAATCCACGAGGCCGTCACAGCACCTTAGAGTAGATCTGGTCAAAGAATGTTCAGGAAAACTTGAGTTTGGATGGAAGACTTCATCTAGAGACTAAGGCCTGCTTCCTGCCTGGAGAACACAAGGCTGGCTGGAGCAGCTCTGATTGGCAGGCAGGTCAGTGTTTGGTGTGGCAAGATGTATACTATTCCCATGGGTGAAATGGATGCTGGGGAGGAAAGCTGAGCTTCCCCCTAAGAGGAGCACCTGCTGGGGAAGGATCTCTGGCATAAAAGACCATGGGAAACTCTGGCTGGGTGGCTCAGTTGGTTAGAGCATCCTCCAGACACACCAAGGTTGCAGGTCCCTGGTCAGGGCACATACAAGAGCATCTGCCCCCTGTTGGTCAGTGCACATCATAGTGACCAGTTGTTCCGCCATTAGGGTCAATTTGCATATTACCCTTTTATTATATAGGACTAGAGGCCCGGTGCATGAAACAAGATTTCTCTCTCTCTCTCTCTCTCTCTCTCTCTCTCTCTTCCTCTCTCTCTCCCTCTTTCTCTAATAAATAAATAAATAAAAATTAAAAACTCATGGAAAACCACGCAGGTGCAGAGGGAGAGGAGGAGTTATGAGAGGTCAGCCAAAGAGCATGTAACTCACAGCAGCATACTGTGCAGGTAGAGTTCCCTAGGCGGGGTAGAGTGAGGACAGCTGCTGAAAATTCCACGGAGAGCCAGACTCCACAGTGTATGGACCATCAGGAGGGAACCACAAATAACACCACCTAAGAGATTTTATCCAAACCTCCTCCCGCCCCTGCAGGAGTCAAGAGCAAGGGAGTGAAAGGAAAGAGGCGGGCAAGTAGGAGAAGAAAACAGAGCTTGACTCCTTCCCAGCTGCAGGTTGGAGAGCCACAGATTAGACCAGTGATGGCAAACCTATGACACGCATGTCAGAGGTGACACACGAACTCATTTTTTTGGTTGATTTTTCTTTGTTAAATGGCATTTAAATATATAAAATAAATATCAAAAATATAAGTCTTTGTTTTACTATGGTTGCAAATATCAGAAAATGTCTATATGTGACACAGCACCAGAGTTAAGTTAGGGTTTTCAAAATGCTGACACACCAAGCTCAAAAGGTTTGCCATCACTGGATTAGACCAAACCTGGGAGCGGGGAGGAGCTTTGAATTCGGTATAAGATTTAAATTTTAGATTAGATTGAATGGGACTTATAATTATTAATTTTTAAAGTAGTTTATGTATTCCCATGGCTCAAAGTTCAAAAGGTACAAAAAATGTATATTGTGAGAAATCTTCCCTCCACCTGTCTCCCCACCACCTGGCTCTGCCCAAGAGAAATGAGTATTATCCAATTCCTTGTGAATCATTCCAGAGCTATTTTGTGCATATACAGTCACATACAGGCATACACATACATCCATCCCCCCCCACCCCACCCCATCACCCTTCTATGTTGCTGCTAATGTGGGAGGAATCGGTTTGTGATCAGGGCAGGGCAGGGTATGGAGATTAACAGGGTGACTAGTGTTCACGGTGGCAGCCCCGGGGCAGTGTATTTTTCTGTTTGAGTTAACCTGAACGTGATCTCTACTCTTTGCAGCCAAGAATCTTGACAGGAGGTCTGAGTTAAGTACTGAGGTTCAATTTGTTGGAGCAAAGTCTCTGATTGTTTTTGAGGAAATAAATCACTCAGCTGTAGTCACTGATGTGTGTAAGGCAGTCAGATCAGAAAGGAGAAGCATCTGACCGAGACATTGGTGGTGTTTCCACCGCCTACTTTCATCAGAGTTCTGTCTAAATTCCTGGAGTAATGCTGGGGTAGATGGAAAGAGCATTTGGTCTCCCGGCCATGCTGGCATCCCCTGATGTGTACATCCTTCCATCTAGTCCTCCGCTGCTGGCCCAGGGCACCCCTGCATCATCCCTTCCTCCTACTTGCATGGTCCGTTTTAGTCAGGCTCTGTCCGCTATCTCTGGGCTCTTCTCAGTACAGTGGGGCCTTGACTTACGAGTGTCCCGACTAACGAGTTTTTTGAGATACCAGCTGTCTCTCTGCCGATTTTTTGCATTGAGTTGATAGAGTAATTTGAGTTAACGAGCTCCTTAATGAGCTCGGTCTCGGAACGAATTAAGCTTGTAAGTCAAGGCCCCACTGTATATGAGAACCATTTAGCCCCTCCTGTG